CTATAAAACCAACAGCAGCAATACAGTGAGAACCACATACCTCTCAAATCTGAACTTTTAGTTTTTAAATAAAATGATCCAGTACGTGTTCCTGTATGGACTGAGAGAACTCTCATTCTTTAACAAAACACACATCACATGTGAAAAAACATCTAGTGTCAATCCTTAAGCAAAACTCATCTGTAATTCTAAATATCAATGAGCCACAATATTGATCCACTTAACTGAAAATGTCTGCTAGTTGTTAATAAATAGATTTTTGTCCAGATGCTTTGCAACTGTGTTAAATAAGTGGATGAATGATCCACTGGAGGGTCTCCATGATTCAACAGTGTGTTACACTGGAGGAGAATACCTCATACCTAGAATAAAAACCTGCTGCTTCTGGTTTCCTCCACCCAGCTGCCTCCCCCTCCCTGCTTCAGTACCACAGGTTGCATAACGAAGCCATTGGACACATAGTACAAAATCTGAGTTTCATCACAGGATGTCCTGAATGTGTTGAACACAAACACGTATAAGCAGCCGCATGTGTGATTGTATGACCGTCTCCCACCTCACAGGGCTTCATCACGACCCAGTCAGCCCTGCAGACCCAGAGTTCTGTCACTGAAATTATAGAAAACAAGCATTTCTTATGTTCATTTAGAATAAGTCGTGGAAACACACAGGTCGGGTTTAAACTCATAATAATGCTTCTTCAAACACAGAGAGCTCTGCACAGTGCAGCGTGGCATAACAACACCAGCCATCGCCGGCTAACCGCAGCTTCCACCACCACACCTCTCGTAATCCAGGACATGATGTTCCAGAGGCGAGGGACAACGGCAGTGTTGACCTGTATCCATCAACAAGGGAGGAGGCCCAAAGTCCCAAAGCCGACAACTGAAAAGGACGGATTAAGACAAACAATGAGAAATTAGTGAGCTGGTGTTTGAGGGTTTCTGTGACTTCTCTGCTCTGTACTTGTTGTTGGCATCTACAGGATAAGATGGGTTTGATTACAATATATTTAAAACAACGTGAGAAATAAATAAAAAGTTGTTATCATCACCATTTTCATAATGTGTGCTATAGGGGACATATCTCAGTTGAAACCACGAGGATCCAGCTGTGAAGCAGCAGCTGCTTGTGGAACTTCTGGCTGTTCTTGTTAAAAATATTCGCACAGCTTCAGTCTCCACGGGAAAGAATCCATCGCTCCCTGTTCCGGGCCGTAATGCACACGTCATGCTGTTTCTCATGCGAGACGGATGATGGAGCGGCATCAGACCCTCGGTGGTACATCAATGTCATTCTGGGTCAAGCTCCACAAGGGTACAGTTCACCAAATTTATGCCGGACAAGACGATGTGTGACTCATGTGCGACTCAGTGATAATTATAAGGTACTGTTTGTTTTGCACAGTGCAAACTTGAACTATTAGTTTTAGAACTATTGGTGTTACTGGTGCTATTAAAACAACAGTGTGACTTGGCTAATCTGCCTCATGTGACAATGAAACAAACCATGACTGACACACAGGCCAGGCTGCCACTCAAATCAACACACACCTAGATGAACACACAAAAACCAAACCACACTTCCAGCCTTAAAGAAACGTGACTCTCTCAGCCAGGTACTGTGTGCCTATATCTGCAAACTACACCGACTAATGCTGCTGTACCTGTACCAGCTTATCAAACACTGTTGTGTAAATGTCATCAGGTGCCACCTCCTGAAACCAGATCTAGATGTGGAGTTTTCTCAGGACACTGAAGTGATGTGTAAACAGAACACACACACCCCTCTCTTCTTTCAGGACTTTGATGAGACGCTGCTGAGCCGTGCACAGAAATCATAATTTATCGATAGAGCACACAGAGTCCTGAGAGGGTGTCCTTTCTCTGTGAGCGGACAAAAGACAGAGCACAGGCCGTTCTTACCAGAATCAAATACAGACTAACACCTCTGAGCCCGTGGGAGCAGCTCAGTGCTGCACCACAGCCCAGGAACAGCCCAGCAGCTGGAAAAGCTCCCGACAGGTTCAATTTAATTTGTAATTTATTCTGACCAACAATCTCTGGAGTCACACTGCGAGCATGCATACAAATGTGAACCACAGATGAATGCTTAATCAATGGGCTTATGTCTCTCAGATGAAAATGAATGAAAATCAGTGGCTTTAAAACATTTACAGCAAAAGTGGTGAGTTTGTAGCATTGAATTTAAAACTGCACTCATCAATATTCCTATATTAACAGTTTTGTTATCTGTAAAATGACAGTGGTCGCCCATACAGAAGAATGGAGAGATTGTCTCCTACTCTGCAGGTTCCCTCAGAGTTTTACTGTCTTTGTGCAAATACACTGTGTTCCAGCGTGGCCTGAACCTGGCATGGTTTCCGCCTGTGTGTGTGTGTGTGTGTATGCACAACATAACTTGCACAGGTGCGTTCTCACCAAACTTGGTGGTAATACTACACGAGAGGGTCCAGACGACTGAATTTTAGAGCCGATAGATTAAAGTTCAAGGTCAGGATAAACAAATCAATGTTCTGAACAACCACAAATAATAAAGCTATAGAGACATATATATTATATATAAAATAAAGTATATATAGTAAATCAGGCACAACTATGCATTATTGCTATGCATTATCTCTTTTGTTTTGTTCTGACTAACCCACTGTGCACTAAGCAACATACATAGTTAGTGATTAGTCACAGTAAACATACTTTAGCATTTGTCAGGTAAATAGTCAGATACTCTCCTAAATTAAATAAAAATAAACTTCATCATGCAGACAGAAACACAGCTTGAAATGAATGCTAATATTGCTCCATGTCTGCTGACTGTTGACAATCCTTCTCTAATCTGTTTGCACAACTATTTAATAAGGAGAAAAGACGACAGTGTAAATACAGTCTCTTCTAAAATTGATCCCATCAATGTATCAAGCCAAACCCTTCTTGTATTTTCATCCCTCGAAGTTTAGATTCTTTGCCCTTTAAGGTCGTTTTTCACTTTAACCTCAAAGAGTGCGCTGACCTGTGAGGAAGCATCCGTCATCAGAATGGATGGTTGAAGAACATGAAATATATCAGCTCTCTTGCTGCTGCTGTCTAACTCCTGTGTTTAATGAAGTGTAGAACCTGAGAGAGGGACTTAAATTGCTCGGGGGCCTTGGGCTTTAGATTCAGGACAGTTTTGTTCCTATAGGGGAGGACACAGGCCTGGAGGAGACAGCTTAGAAAAAGACAGCTGTGGTGCAGGTGAAGGTGCTCTCCCAGCCCCTTCAGCACACAACAGTAATATCAGGAGCTGCACTTTTGTGAGGCTTTCTATGCAAGAAAATATAACACACAAGGAATCAATTAAAACGTGCGGTCTTAGCACAGATGTGGTCGAATCTAATCTGAAACAAACCAAGAGGAACGCAGGTGCAGGATTCTACACATTTGACAATTTAATTTTCTAATAACGTGACTGAGGTTCACTTATTATGAGCATGTTTCTACTTGGAAACCCATTTCAGCTCTCAGCAAATGATTCTGTGGTATCATAGCAACAAGTGACAAAGCCAAGGCTGTGGGAGCAAGTGCGAGTTTCAAGTATAATTATATCTGTAACATCATTTTTCTACTTTGTCTGACCATTCAGCTTCAGTCACGGTTTGCATGTAAATCTCAGCAGCACTTACAGAGATATGAACGTACACGTACATACAGTCAATGAAATGTAGGTCAATACGTGCACTTCAGTGCAGCAGATGACACACTGTGCTTAAAATCATCACATTAAATCCATGCAAAACAAGGGGCACACTTGCTGAGTCTGCACTTCAGCATCCGACACGTGTGCCGAGCCTCAGACGACCACAGAGACAAATTCCCCCTTGTCATCGCGTCATGAGTGCAAATTAAACCAGCAAGTGCAGGAGAAGTGTCTCTGAAGACTAAATCTAGCATGAAATAAAACAGAGGATGTGTCGAAAAATAAAATTTGTTTTAATATGAATAGGATTGTATGCATTTTGGAAATGTTATATGAACAATGATGGATTGAGGTTTCCCCCTGATGGACAGTGAAATGTTCTATATTCAATATGACAATTAGTGGTCATACTGTTCATGTCTTGGTGGTCCACAGAGGGCTGCTCTACATCTATGACCTTTTAATGACGGCAACCAAAATGACGGCCAGAGCATTCATGACGCTAAACCGACTGACCTCGCCTGTGAACGCTCTCAGCAGAAATGTTTTGCTCTTTGTTTAATCAAATACTTTAATTGAATACAACTTTTGATTCTCCATTGAGTCGGCAAACTTAAGAATCAGTGACTTCAAAATCTGCTGAGAAGATTTCCCTTATCCAAAAACAATCTCACCACAAGGTCCATTTAATATTAAATTACTTTTTGTCATGTCAAGTCATACTGTCCATCTTCCATGGGATTATGGCAAAAAAAAGCTAATTTCTTATTTTATAAAGAATATTTTCAACAGAATTAAGTGTTGACATCCTTCCATGATGATGTTATGATAATTTAATGTTACTACAAGAAACATATTATCATGATTATTAGTGTGTAAGTTTATTGTTTATGATTAAATTATTGATTTAATAATAATATTACCAGCATGACTATAGTGGTTAGATTGTTACTAAATAATAATCATCGTTATTATCATTTCATTTTTATTTCCATTATTATAATTCAAAGATTTGTGGCTTCAATCTCCTGCGAGTCATTTTCTTCTGCTCTGTGTTTGCTGTCACAGCTGTAATCCAGTGAACCTGCCACTGCTGGAAATGCTCTCCGCCTTCCTCACCTACTTTTTACCCTCTTACTCTACTTCATTTGCATCCGTGTCTCTGATTCGCTGCTTTATGTTTACAGAGAGAGATAAATCCCTCTCCTGATTAGCTGAGAGCAGAAGGGGGGGAGGAGCTGTCAGTGAACATAAATACAGAGTGCAGCCTGACAGGCACATGCATCTGCTGTCATCACCCAACATCCAGCTCCTTCACAGACGAGGATCCACTGGAGGAGAAAACAACATAAACACAAGAAGAGATTCTCTCACATCTGGAAGAAAAACGCAGCAGACAACCACCATGTCGCTGGAAGTGAAGGAGAAGACAGAGGTGCGTCTGGTGTTTCTGGGAGCAGCTGGTGTGGGGAAGACATCCATCATCCAGCGCTTCCTCAAAGACACCTTTGAACCCAAGCACCGGCGCACGGTGGAGGAGCTCCACAGGAAGGAGTATGAGGTTCAGGGCATGAAGGTCACCATCAACATCATGGACACCAGTGGCAGCTACTCCTTCCCGGCCATGAGGAAGCTGTCCATCCAGAACAGCGACGCCTTCGCCCTGGTCTACGCCGTGGACGACCCAGAGTCCCTGGTGGCCGTGAAGAGTCTGCGAGAGGAGATCTTGGAGGTCAAAGAGGACAAGTACACGCCTATTGTGGTAATAGGCAACAAGATCGACCGCCAAGGTGACCGACAGGTGTCCAGCAAGGACGTGCTGTCCACCGTGGAGCTGGACTGGAACCACAGCTTTCTGGAGTCCTCAGCCAAAGACAACATCAACGTGCTGGAGGCGTTCAAGGAGCTGCTGCTGCAGGCCAACCTGCCCAGCTGGCTCAGCCCGGCGCTGTGCCGGAGACGGGAAACCTTCCCCAAGGAGAGCAACAAGCGACCTCCTATAAACAAGACCAACAGCTGCATCATCTCGTAGTGATGGAGCAACCGCACAGAAAGAGACTGAGAGGAAAGAGCTTTGTCGACGGGGAGCTGACTGCACAGACACAAACAGTGTTAGTTAAATGTTTTAAAGACTCTGAGTTAAAGAACTATGCTCCCTCATCAGCATTGGACCCACAGATCTTCTGAAGAGGACGAACACGAGATGATGAAAACAGATTTCAACGCAAAGACCTGCCGGAACGTGGCTGAACTGCTGGAGCAGTGACAAAAAATGAAAGTGCACAGACATGACTGAGTGTGAATGAGGCAGTGATAAATGGTGACGGTGTAGAAGCAGCGTTATGTATCATACTTTTTTTTCTCCACACAAATCTCTGTAAATATGATGTTTCGTCTGCGGGTTTTGTGTTGCTGGTGTTCTGTTCTTGTTTTTTAAAAAGCACAATAACTGTGAAGTCTTGGGTATATAAGCAGAAGTGAGTTTGTGTCCTCGTACGATGACGTTTTATGAAACAAGTGAACAACAGAAGCTGTTTATAGTTTTTAATATATCAAACATTATGCTGTGAAATGTGTAGATTGTTCAGCTGTATTGAAATGCTGCTTAGCGTAGCCTCACTACGCACGTGTATACTGTTTATTTACTGATGTTTCACACTGTGTATGTTTGAATTATAAATTCTTTTTTTGAACATTTGAGTTTTCCTTCATTAATGACTGACCTTTCTTGAAAACAAAAATGTTTATGGTTCTTTAATTCACCAATAAACCATAGGGACATTTGTTTCATTACATTTTAGGATTAATAAAACCACGCTCTAAATATGCCAACTAGTTATTTCCTCATTAATTTTAA